GGAGAAGTCACAAAGCCTGCCCAAACCAGTTTGGTTCAGTGGATAGAGCATCGGCCTGCGGACTGAAGGGTCCTAGGTTCGATTCCGGTCAAGGGCATGTACCTTGGTTGTGGGCACATCCCCAGTGGGTGGTGTGCAGAAGGCAGCTGATCGATGTTTCTCTCTCATGGATGTTTCTAACTGTCTAACCCTCTCCCTTCCTCTCTGTAAAAAAAAATCTATAAAATATATTTTTTAAAAAAAGAAGTCACAAAGCCGGCTCTTCCGGTGCCAAGATGAGCATCCGGGTGCCTGGACCCCACTTCAGTGCTTTTTTTCTCTGTCACCTGCTGCTGCCCATCCCCCATCAATCTCCCAGCTGTCACAGGGTGGACTGAGACTCCCAACCTTACCCACCTAGATGCCACCTGAGTCATTGCCAGGGACCCACGGACACCTGTTCACAGTACAGCAGCGTCCAGACCGAGTGGGGGGAATGTCCTGTTGGAGACTATGGCTGCTGCCCCTGTCGCTGGGCAGGAAGACGGTGGCACGGCCAGCAGAACCGGTTCTGGGTGGAAGAACTCGACGACGGCTCTGCCAGATTCACGCTGCTATTGATACCAGAAATCAGTTCTTGCCAAACCTGGTTTTAATCAATAGTTTTAACACCTTCCCAGGTCAAACTTTTTCCTTAAACTAAATGATTAGAATGTCACATCCTTTCTTCTGCTCATGTTAAATGAGAGGCAAAAGTAAAATGCAGCAAGAAAAGGAAAACGCAGGAACATGCTCTGGAAAAATCGATCACCTTATCATTAGCTCTTGAGGATGCACATGTAGTAAGAAAACCAAATACTGACTGTTGTTTGTGGTTTTTTTAAATAAATGCATCAGAACTTCAATATCCTTGAACACAGTCATCTTGGGAAGATGTGTGGTTTCTCCAATGACGCTGCTGTGGCTCCAGTTGTATTTGTCACATCTCTTCTGACACTGCCTTCTTCAAAGTCTTACAGAAAAGCGATCTCATTCTTTAAGTTAAATGTATAAGGTGGACATTGATAATAGGATTGTGTAAGTTTCAAGTGCACAAAGAAATCTCATTTTTAACCCTAAGGTGGTAATGTCCAACTGGTTGATGTGTATTTATATTTGGACCCACGTGATTTCTGGTGTTTTTTAAAACATCTTCAAAGATCAAGATCTGACGCCATTATGGGCATTCAAAAGTCTGTCACAGCCACTCTCTTTCACAGTGCCAACGTGCCAACCCCAGTCACACTCTGGCCTGCCGCCAAAGGAACCAGGGAATGCTGGCGGGCATCCTGGTTCCATTTCTCTCGGCTCTTCTCTGTCACCCTCCATGTGTCACTATATCCCCAACACGGAAAACCAGAGCGGATGTAAACCGTATATTCGGCTGTCTGAGGGGGTAGGATTGCGGCCTAGAAACTCAAATGTCCACCAGGGCTAGGCAGAGAAAGTTCCAGAATGGTGAAGGCTGAAGAAAGTATTAAAGAGACTAGCCAGTACCTCATAAGAACACTTGGGCTTAAGGTTGCCGTATTCTTTAATCACCCAAAAGACTCTAGAAACCCTAGATTAAAGTAACCTCCTGATATTAAATGTGGGCAAAACAATTAAATTTTTGAAATACAGTATGTAAATGTATGTTGCATACACATATATGTTCTGTGGACCATATGAAGGCTGTAGGCCACACATTTGTGTCCTCTGGTCACATAAATCAAAGCATCACATGACACGGAATGGGCCCCCAGCCCTGAGGCCTACAAAAGATTTCTGTGTGGATGCTGCCAACAGGAACTCAAAAGCAAATTTACCTGCTCCTGAGAAGTCCACGATATGAAAATCATAAACAATTCCACTGTGGGAGAGACGCCTTTTACTTCTTGTTTTGTTCAAAACTTTTTTACTCAACCACATGCTTTGTTTTATGCAGTCTGCTTATTAAAAAACTAGAGGCCCGGTGCACAAAAATTAGTGCATTCAGGGGGGTCGCTCAGCCTGGCCTGAGCCCTCTCTTAGTCCAGGACCCCTCAGGGGATGTCCACCTGCCAGCTTAGGCCCACCCTGCGGGGGATCGGGCCTAAGCTAGCAGACAGACATTCCTCTGGCAGCCTGGGAGCCCTAGGGGGTTGTCTGACTGATGGCTTAGGCCCAGGCTTAACCTGCAGTCAAACATCCTTAGGGCTGCTGAGAGGCTCCTGCCACTGTTGCTGCGCTTATAGCTGTCAGCCCAGCTTGTGGCTGAGCAGAGCCCCCAACTATGGGAGCACACTGACCACCAGGGGGCAGATTCAGCATTGAGCATCTGCCCCCTAGAGGTCAGTGTGCATCACAATGACTGGCCATTCCTGGGTTGTTCCACCATCAGTGTCAATTTGCATATTACCCTTTTATTATGTAGGATCAATAATACTTTATTTTTAAAATATTTTTTATTGACTTTTAGAGAGAGAGGAAGGGAGAAACTGATATGAAAGGCAAAACATCAACAGGCTGCCTCCTGCAACGCCCCCTGCAGGCCATCCAGCCTGCAGCCCAGGCATGAGCTGTGACAGGGAACGGAACTTGTGGTGCACAGAATGACACCCAACCAAGTCATGGTAACCAGGGCTAAAATCAGTAACATTTTAAAGAAATACCTTGGGCTCTGCAAGTTGAAAAAAAAATCTTCTTGGCCTCGCTAATGAAACCAAGTTGGTTTTTATGGTTTTTCTTTGAAAGCCTTTCCAGTCCTTTGGGGGAAATTATTAGAAACTATTTTTTTTTTTTAATTACTCACTGGTTAACCCAGACTGCACACAATCGCAATAACCAAGTATCAGTTACTGAACTATATATACTCAAGAAACAAGCAAATGTGGCCACAAGAAGCATCTGTGAGTTAAACTGTGATGCTGGCACAGCACACACGCTCCAACGTGTGTGAACAAGAGAAGTGAGCTTCTGCCCCTGGGTGCGGAATGGAATTGTCTCAGTGAGGCTGAAACAAGGGTCAACTCCACCCAGATTCACTACCGCGCTGGGGCACCTCAGTGTCCATCATCACTCACGCTGTCCCTTTGGTTTCGGCATTTTCTTTAAAGGGTCCCTACTGATGCATAACCATGAAGGCCCTTGTTAGCACAGACTGCATGATATTGAACATGTGGGCTGTGATTACAGCTCACACTTACGGCTCCTTTACACAGACAAGGACCGGGCCCCGCTGTCTTCCCAGGGACCGCGAAGGGCCTGGCCCTCGCTCCTCACACGTGCTGTGTGTGTGGTTATTGGTTCCCCTGCCCTCCCCCAGAGCCCTGGATCTTCACACATCACGCACCAGGCTTGGCACGGCAGAGCTCTTTTGGAAAAGTTTGATTTGTTCCCTTCTGTTTTGATTAAAGGAGCTGAGTGAGGCCCAGAGAGGGAAGATGACTTGCTAAGAATTCTAAACCAAGCCCGGCTGTGCCTTTTCTTTGTCTAGCCCAGTACCCCAGCCTCTGAGAGAAGAGGATGAAGGGAAAATCTGGGGCTTGAACAAGAAACTTTTTTTTAAATATACTTTCATTGATTTCAGAGAGGAAAGGAGAGGGGGAGAGAGGTAGAAACACCGGGAATGAGAGAGAATCATTGATCCGCTGAATCATTGGTGGCCCGCCTCCAGCATACCCCACCCTGGGCCTGCAACCCGGCCGTATGCCCTGAGACCAGGAATCAAACTGTAACCTCCTGGCTCTTACGTCAACGCTCAACCACTGAGCCGCACTGGCCGACCCTGGACACGGAGCTTTAAATGGAGGGGAATGGACCCTAGAAGAAGCTTCCCTACAGTTCTGCATGGGACCTGGCTTGCCCACCTCCTTCTAGCTCCCTGGCATGCTTGCTGCTTGCCCATGTAAGTCGCCTTTCTTGGGCCGGAAGCCAGTTTCATGTACATTGTTTTATACGCGAGCCACATGAGACACTGAGCAATTCATCTTCTCCCCTAAGCCCTGCCCGCAAGCTCAAACCCAGTTTCCTCTCTCGCCCGGCCTTCCCCGCTGGCAGACAATACAGCATTGAAGGGAGTCTGTTTACACTGACCTTTTCATTAGCTTGAAGACAGAGTTTTGTTAACGCCCTCCTAGATGGTACATAACTGAAGTGCAAAGCAAACTTAGGTTTCACCGGGAAACGTCTCGTTTAGTGCAAAGGAAGGAGCAGAGTCAGAAGCTACACAACACAGAAAAGAAGAGCGCAGGCAGAACAGTTCGGAGTTTTCATACTCGGAGACGCGCAGCCCGAAAGCAAACGGGAGAGCCAGTGAGTCTCTGGTTCACTCCATCCACGGGGAAACCCCCAGGGCCCACCCTGCTGGAGGTCTTACGTTTGCCCCTTTTTTATGCCATGTTGGCACTAGAGAGAGAGCGAGAAAGCTTAAGCAGTCAACAAGGAAAGAATGGCTCAAGGTCACAGCGGTGGGGGACCTCGGGGAGTGACGTTCAGAGGCCTGTGGCCCTGCTTCCTGCCCCTCCCTCAAGCAGGTTCCACGTGGAAGGAACCATGGGGTGCAGAGACATTCCCAGGACTCACCTACGAAGCATCAGCCCGGAACCCCTCCTCCCTGAAGAAGGCTGCAGGGAGAAGGGGCGCGGGAGAGTCTACAGAGCAGGCTGGAAAGGTTTGGTGGCCCGCTCTGTGCCAGAACCAAGGGCCAAAATGGAGCCTGAGGCTTTGGAGGGACGTGGGTCTGGGGCATCTCACAGGAGGCCACAGAGGCACGGTGCCTGTCCTTTTCTCTTTCCTCCCAAAACAGGCAAGTTTGCTCCACGGAATTGAATGTGTGTGACTTCTAGAGAAAGATAATGGGTTCATTTTCTTTTGTTCTGGCTCAAGTGAACAGATCTTTCCCTGCCCATAAAGCCAGTTGAAACAAACAAACAAACAAACAAACAAAAAAATCACCTGCAGAGAAGGGACACATTACTTAAAAGTTCCGAACAGTGAAATCAGTGCTACTTTTCACTCACCTTGGCCTCCTCATTCACGTCCCAGGTGAAGGAAACCGCATTGTAGGCGATCTCTTCAATGTTCCCGATCGTATTAAAGCTCTCCTTGTAATCCGCTGTAACGTTAGAAAAGAAAATGGTTTTAAGAATCAGAGTTACTCAGTGGCATGGACAGAACTGTCATTTTTTCCAGTGGGAAAACAGAAACGTTGCCTCTTCTTCTAGCTGTTTCTATGGCCACAGGTAAAGATTTACACTTGCTGATTCTCTTTCACGAATATTTATAAGGCTGTCAACATGTTCCTCTATTAAAAAGACTAAATCTTAGGTGAAGCAATGTTCCTAACTGATTTGCTCATGAGTGTCATTTTTTTTATTAGGTTTATAAAACTGTGCTTTCCCTCCAGAGTCCCTTGTCTCCTACCCATTCCTTCTCCTGCTCACTTTCCTGCCACTTAAGTTTGCTGGAAGCGCCAGGGTATCCCATTGGGATTGTTTCGTAGAATGGAATATTCTGTTCATCCAGGCAGTGTCATCAGGACTTCAGGAGGAAATTCTGGGAGAGGTTGAGGGAATCATACTCAGCTCATTATCACCAAGGCCCTCTATTCTTTTACTTATGTAGGACTTATTTGTTGCTTTAATCCCTATTATCCACCCCACAAACACTAGCTATTAGAAGCTATTAATGTATTCATTTATTTAAGTTTTTTAAATTGGTTTTTTAAAGGGAGAGGGAGAGGGAGAAAGAGAAACAAAGACAGACACATCAATGGGTCACCTCTTGCACTTGCCTAGACCAGCAATTGAATCCACCGCCCTTTGATATATCAGACGACGCTCCAACCAACTGAGTCAACTCTGCCAGGGCGCATATATATATATACACACACATGCCTAATATGCAAAGTGTCCCCTTGGGAGTTCAACTGACCAGGAGTTCAATTGCCCACTATGATGTGTGCTGACCAACAGGGGGTGGCATGGAATGAAGGAAGGCACCAGCCAGCAGCCAGTAGCTGCTAGGGACCCTACCCATGCAAGGATTTTGTGCACCGAGCCTCTCATATTCTTATACGTTGTGTTGATTTGCCTGCATACATAGCTTTTATTTTCACAAATTGTACGGAGCTATGGGTAGGGTTGCCAGATTTAGCAAGTATTTGGGATATACTTGTCAAAAAAAAAAAAAAAAAGTATTTGTTCTTCATCAAAAAATTCAAATTTAACTGGGGACCCTGTATTTTTTCTGGCAAGCCTCACTCCGGACCTTTCCAATCTAACTGTAGCTACATAGAATTCCATGGGGACCATCAGTCACAATTCATTCCCTCTCCTCAGAGATGGGCCCTTTGGTAGTCTAGCTCTCGGATACCTCAAACACGCTTGTGATAAAAGTCTTCATTGCTCACTGTCTCCATGGTCATGGCCTCAGTTGGTCTGCAGGTCTGGACATAAAATTCCCAGTGTCACTGCTCACTACTGCCTGAGGTTTCTAGCTTATGGCTGCCATCTGAGGTTCTCTTTTTCCTTACTCTTGGCCTCCTTAGATATGACATCCTACTGTAATTCTGTCCCTTAGGTACTAAATAAACATTTGTCACATCCTACTTGGCTGGCATCATGATAAAACCCTTCTGTTTTTCTTCGAGGCCAGGTTTACTCACAAACTGATCACCTAATCACACATGTTCTTCCTCTCTAAGTCTCCATAAGTTTTCTAAAATGAAGCTATGACCATGTGCTTTCCTAAGGCTAAGTCTTTCACCCTGATCTGTCACATCCTTCTCGCTTAGGCCCCATACCATGCCTCTGTGCAGTCACAGCCCACCCCACACAGGGGGTCAGAGGAAGACTCAATTATAATGATATTTATAAAACAAATAGACCTCTTACAAAGTCCCTTCTGAGTTAGGATGGGAGGTAGTTACCACAGCTGACTTCCAGAATGTACAAAGTGACCATTGTCTACAAAACCTGCCATGTTTCTCATCAAATGGTTGTTTCCAGGGTGGTGGTGTTCCGGGCTCCCTAAGTTAATGCTTTAAAATGCTGTAGACTGTTTCTCTAAAGTGCACATCTGCAATCATCTTAACTGTTTATTCCTCAGTTGTCACAAAACCTAAATTCATGTCACCCTTCACCAAAACTGTAATTACTTTCTCTTATGAATAAAACTCATTCTGTTTTGATAATTAGGTTGAGAATAAATGAAGCAAACACACTTTACTATAAAATCTTGTGTGTTCCCCACAGGAAAGTCAGAGACCATGAACAAATAAGAAAAATATTTAAAAGTAGCCACAATCTACTCACTGACAAGCACTAAAAACATATCTGTATATACTTCATTTTTCTTATCTCAGTCTCTATCTTCCTTTCTCCAAAATGTATAAATATTTTTAAACAACATTATAACAATTAATTTTCAAATTGCTTCCCCCGCCCCTTAATACATCTTCAGCATCATTTCATGTCAATAAATAAACTTATAAAAAATACTTTAGCCCTAGCCAATTTGGTTCAGTGGATAGAGCACTGGCCCAGAGACTGAAGGGTCCTAGGTTCGATTCTGGTCAAGTTTAATTTGCACACAAAGAGACAAGACTGATGAGGCTACTTCATACCGGGAGGTTACGTTAACATGTGTCTTTCCTTCATAGCATGTATATTTCATGTATTTGTTTACTTATCACCAGCATTTTGTATTCGTTATATACTAGTATGCTATATAAAGGCAAGAAACGTATCTTAAATACTGCTGTCTCAGAGTTTACTATCATATGAATAAGATGTACCCCATATGTTAGTTGAGTGAGTAAAGAAGTGAATAAGTGGCGCCCTAGGCATTCTAAAAAAACAAACAAACAAACAAAAACCAACAAACACTGATGCCACACATTCCTCTAATTATGAAATATAAGAAATGCCTGTTCATCTTGATCCTTTGATTTTAGTCTCTAAGCCAGGGATTTTCAAGTGGTGTGCTGCAAGAATGTTAAAACAGGCAATTTAGTCAGGGACACTGACCTCTGTGCGCTTAGGTTGTCAAAAAATAAAAAACGACAACAGCCAACACAACAATAGCCATCCGGTGTGAATGAACCAAAATTATACCTTTTTTTTTTTTTTTTTTTTTGTCAGATCAACAAAAAATGTATGTGTGTGCTGCAGAACTTTAGTCACTAGCGAATTGTGTCATGAGATGAAAAAGGTTGAAAAACCACTGCTCTAAGCCATTCACCTACTACTTCATGACCGTCAAGGTTTTCTAACCTTACGCACAGGGATGGTGCTTTGTCCACATGCACATTTGTCCAAGGAATGAAATGCTAATGGATGTATCTCCTGCTCTGAAAACTGTGTTAATGTGTCCTTTGATGAGTGTTGCTTGCTCAGAGGTATGATTTATGGTGTAAACATAGAAATTCAGCCACTTGGTATTTTGGTATTAAGCCTTCCTTAACTTAGTTCCTTAAGAAAGTCTCTCAAACCCAGGTTTTGTAAACTTTGGCAGCTACAACCAGTAGAAGCTATTTTTAATGAGCTGGTGCCGTGGTCGGCAAACTGCGGCTCGTGAGCCACATGCAGCTCTTTGGCCCCTTGAGTGTGGTGGCTCTTCCACAAAATACCACGGCCTGGGCGAGTCTATTTTGAAGAAGTGGCGTTAGAAGAAGTTTAAGTTTAAAAAATTTGGCTCTCAAAAGAAATTTCAATCGTTGTACTATTGATCGTTGGCTCTGTTGACTAATGAGCTTGCCGACCACTCAGCTGGTGCAATGAGCTTAGCTTCCTAGAGTTGCTATGACACATTACCACAAACCTGGAGGTTTAGAACAATAGAAGCTTATTCTCTTCTACCAGACGAGACAAATCAAGGTGTCAGCAGGACTGGCTCTCTCTAGAGCACATGTGTCAAACACAAGGCCTGGCGGGCCAAATCCGTCCCGCCAGGCCTTGCAATGTGGCCCACACCGCGCTGTCATCACTGCACTCCACTGCGTTTCCATCACAATGACAGTTTATGACTGTTCAGTAAACCATTCGGCCCACAATTTAGGCTGGATTTTAGATTTTGGCCCCTTCTCTGATTGAGTTCGACACCCCTACTCTAGAGGCTCTGAACAGTCAGGGGTCCCACACTGGCTTCTGATGGTTGCTGGCAACCCTTGGTGTCCCTTGGCTTGTAGATGGGTCCTTCCGATGTTGCCGCTGTTCTCATGCTCTTCTCCCCTGTGCCTTTGGGTCTATTTATCCCTTCTCTTCTGAAAACTTGTCACTGAATTCAAAGCCCATCTCATCTTGAGATCTTTAACTCAATGACATCTGTAAAGTCCTTTTTTTTTTTTCTAAATAAGATTTTATGTACAAGTTCTAGATGTTAGAACATGAAGATATCATTTTTGAGGGTCACCATTCAATCCCCTCCATCTGAGATTTCCCTCTCATCATCAGGAAGTCATGTTATTTTAGTGAGTGACTTTTTTTTTTTTTGCATGAGAGCCACTATCGCTGAAAAATCATCACCCCACTTTAAAAAGCATTATACAGCACATAATTGGGACCATATGACATTTTGGATGGACTTGCTTTTCCTATAATTAGGTAGATATTTACAAACTGGTGTACAAAACATTTAGCTTTTATATTGTCTCATGTTATGTACACCGGTTTGTAAATATCTACATAATACTAACGTCCACTTGGTGAGGGTGGGGATATACATAGGGAAATGGCTGAGATAGTAAAAACTATAGTAAAAACCACATGATGGAACAAAATTATAACTGGTTGAAATGGGTCTCTAAAAAAAAAAAAAAAAAGCATGCTAATTGAATCTAAGTTAAAAGGTAGTTTTCATTCATCTTAGTAATTTGTACACAAAGGGACAACCCAACAACGCACGGCTAGCTTGAATGATCAGGAAGAAAACCATGGGAGGAAGAAATGGGAGTTTGTCTGATGAAATAAACACGAAGTCGACCTCATTGTGAAGTCATGTTACAAGGGATAGTTTTAAACTTCCCAGAGTCCTCTATGGTTGTGTGTGTCCTTGGAATGTCAGAGCGAGGAGTAAGGGAGAGCACAGCCATGTACCCTCTCTAGGGCCCATATG